CTGTTGAATTAATATAGTCAGTGTGGTCATTGATTGTATGTTATATGTTATGTGTTTACATACATTGTTTTGTGTGGGAGGAGATAGGGGATGTACTCCACGGTTTAGGGGAAGATAGGGGATGGACCTCTAAACCGGATTTTGTTTGGGAGGAGATAGGGGATGGACTCCATTAGCCACACTTTGTGTGTGCTTATAGCCATCCCAGGATATCCATTCAGCAAAGAGACATTTGTCGATGAAAGTCAGTACCCGAACTACCAGCATGGCGTCTCTCATGAATCACCAGTAATGGGAGAAAATGATCAAGAATGGAACGATGAACCACCCATGGGAGATGGGGATGACTTTTACGACCAACTCTTAGCAGCAGATCTTGACGACCTAGCAGACAGAATGTATGGGTAAAAAAAATAAAAAAAAATAATAAATAAATAAATAAATTAAGGAAAAGGGCTACCACTAAAAGGTTAAAATTTAGGTAAGGAATTAATCATATACATATATATAAGTAGCAAAATGCAGTCTTCAACAATGAGGATGACAAAATTTACAAGTCCAGAAACCCACAAACCAAGACATTGTTACGTTGATTTACAGTTCCAAGCCTAAAGAATTTCACAAGAGTTCAATTAAACCTATAAAGCATTTTAAAATATATACAGGTGACAGCTCAATGATAATTTTAAAAAATGGGAGAAATGAGAACATAATAAAGATTTATTTTCTTTTCTTTTTTCTTTTAAAATCAGATGAAGTAGGTTAGTGTAGATGTCAATCATGCTAACCTTGTCTTCACTTCATCTTTCTACCTTCCACAACATGTTCAGCGACACCATATAAACATATAATCATCTTGAGCATTGAGTGGATTTAAGTAAAGCCCTCTCCATCCATTCATCATGTTTAGATCTGCAAACCTGACCTGGTTTGGCTGGCATAGGATTCTCCAATCAGAACCAGAACAAAAGCTTTACTGCAGTAGCAGCTCCTCCTCCTTGTGTAGTTCCTTGAGACGTTTTTTTGCATACATTGTAACTATTATTGTTGTAGCCACGGTTGCACAGAAACCAAGAACATTAAAAATAATCTGTGACGCTGAAAGGGAGTGTTGATCTTGTGAAGCATCAGCCAAAGTACGTATTAATATACCACTGCAATGACAGAAAAATGGTTATTAGTTTGGACAACATTGAATGAAACCAAAAAAAAAATAATAATCTAATGAATCATTTTCGCTGTCAATTTATGGATAGCTACCGCAGAAGAAGAGTTACGTTTATTTCTTTCCATATCATACTAGAAAAGAAAGAGAAAACTATTAACCCAAAGTAAAGAAAATGCAAAAAAAGTAAGCTTCACAAACCAAACCGCCCACCCTTCCCAACCCAATTCCAAAGAAAAAGTAAACAAGATAAAATACATGAACAGCAGAAAATTAACAATAAAGCTACAATAGAAGAATAACGGTAAACGGTAACCAAAGATGCTATATATATAATTACTCTGCTGAAAAGCGTGCAGATGCAACACCCTTGCACACCCATGTTTGTTCAGACACATGAAAAGGCAAAACTATAATTTAATTGTACTGGTAACATGAAAGGTAGCATGCCTTTTGTTCAAGAAACTCAACACTATGGTATTTCATATTACTTAACATAGTAAACCTAATTGGCATGCATAGAAAGGATACATATACATGTCAAGCAACATAACTTCATAAACACAAATAAAGCAATGCCTCATTTTTATAATTCTTTCAGTTCGTCATGTCTGACGAGCTTCTTTTCTTCTTTTTTATTTTTGGCTATTACCAACCCCCCCAGGTCAATATCTGTGATGAAACATGACACCTGTGTCTGTCCAAAAATCATATATTGCACAAGTTCTGTATGAGAAGAAGGCTAGCTGGTGTAAAGAAGAGGTATCCGAAGGAGCAGTTCCTTGAAATTTCAAAACAATGATGTTGCCCAGTTCAATATATATTACCAAACCAAACTAATTTTCATGTCCCAATCTAGTGGTGTAGGCCACATGGATCATTTTCCACCAGTTCAATAAATATTCTTATTGGCAGCAATTCTGCCAGATGACAGCTGGGCTGGAAAACAGCCACATAGCTGAAAGAACTGCTAGTTACAGCATCACACAATCCATAAAGAAGCTTTCAAAAGCTCTAAAATTCTCTAAAATATCAAGTCCATTGAATTAATAGCATTACATGACTTTATATAGAACTAAGAGACTTCCTAAACTAATTAGAATAAAAAAGGGAAACTACTATAATATTTTAGACTTCCAAAACTAATTTAAGACCAAATAAGAAACATAAATAAAACCTAATTAAATAACTTGACCCACAAGATGACCCATGGGCATATAACCCATGTCTAAAAATTATGAAATTACCAAAATACCCTAAACTAAAATAATAATAATAGAACATGACTCATAAGCCTAAAACATAACTATCAACGGTCCCAAATGAGTTGTTCATCATCCAATGCATGCCAAATCAAAGCTTGGGCCTAAGAGGCATCTCTTCCTTGTCTCTTGTACACCTTAAGAGGCTGCTGCCACTTGCCTCCAACATCTCTCCTCATCTTCTAGTGTTGTTGATCATAGAAATAAAGGTATTGTGACTGTGAAGCCAAATGGGAGGGATAAAAGCACTACTTGTTTTAAGTGTGGCGAGTCTGGGCACATAGCTTATCAATGTCCAAAGAATAATACGCTCCATATTGCAATCGAAGAGGACGCAGAGCAACTACCAGAATATGGCCAATCACAGGAATATGTCAATGATGGATGAGGTTGCATTCAATTATGGAGAGTGCAGATTTGATGATTTAGGGGAAGATGAGTTGAAAACCTCATTTCTTAATGTTGTTAGGCGTATTCTAGCAGCCCTTAAGGTGGAGCAAGAAGAAAAAACTTTGGAAGCTGCATCTGTATCTACAGTTGAAAGAGTTAAGCTTCCAACTGAGCCACATCCTCATCCTTACAAGGTAGCTTGGATTGACAACACGTCTATTCCGGTAACTCAATGATGCCTTGTTTCATTTGCTTTGCCTAATTATAGTGATTCTATTTTATGTGATGTAATTCCTATGAATGTCACTCACATCCTTCTTGGTCGACCATGGCTTTACGATCACACTATACAACACAATGGACGAAAAAATACATACACTTTCTCACTTGGAAAGAAAACAATTGTCCTACATCCTATGACTATAGCAGAGATGAGAAGATATGAAACTCCAAAGCCAAAGTGTATTGCTAAAAGTCAAAATAAACCTCTCCACGTACTCTTTAAAAGGCAATTTGTAGTGGAAAGCAAAGAATCAAAGCTTATCTATGCTGTAGTGGTTAAAGAAGTGAAGCAACTAGCAGCTGGTCCTGAGACAAAAAGGCCTTTAGAGGTTGAAAAGTTGTTGTCTGAATTTTCTGATATAGCACCAGAAGAGCTTCCTAATGAGCTTCCTCCCATGAGTAATGTCCAACGTGCAATAGATCTTATCCCCGGGTCTCAATTGCCTAATCTTCAGCTTATCGGATGAATCCTAGTGAAAATACTGAGCTAAAAAGGCAAAGTAGATGATCCAAAGGATTTATTCGCGAGAGTTTGAGTCCTTGTGTTGTTCCTACCTTGCTCACACCAAAGAAAGATGGCACATGGTGCATGTGTGTCGATAGTCGAGCTATCAACAAAATAACCATCAAATATCGGTTTCCAATTCCTCGACTTGATTATATGTTGGACACGATAGCTGGTTCTACTATTTTTTCAAAGATTTGTAGAGTGGTTACCATCAAATATGAATAAGACCTAGAGATGACTGGAAGACTGCTTTCAAGACAAAGGATGGTCTCTATGAGTGGCTAGTTATGCCATGTTGTCTTTCCAATGCTACCAATGCTCCTAGCACATTCATGTGTTTCATGACGCAGGTACTTAAACCTTTTACTGGTCGTTTCCTTGTGGTCTATTTTGATGATATACTAATCTATAGCAATACCAAAGAGGAACACATCTTCTATCTAATGAGCTTCCTCCCATGAGTAATGTCCAACATGCAATAGATCTTATCCCCGGGTCTCAATTGCCTAATCTTCAGCTTATCGGATGAATCCTAGTGAAAATACTGAGCTAAAAAGGCAAAGTGGATGATCCAAAGGATTTATTCGCGAGAGTTTGAGTTCTTGTGTTGTTCCTACCTTGCTCACACCAAAGAAAGATGGCACATGGTGCATGTGTGTCGATAGTCGAGCTATCAACAAAATAACCATCAAATATCGGTTTCCAATTCCTCGACTTGATAATATGTTGGACACGATAGCTGGTTCTACTATTTTTTCAAAGATTTGCTGAGTGGTTACCATCAAATACGAATAAGGCCTGGAGATGAGTGGAAGACTGCCTTCAAGACAAAGGATGGTCTCTATGAGTGGCTAGTTATGCCATGTGGTCTTTCCAATGCTACCAATGCTCCTAGCACATTCATGCGTTTCATGACGCAGGTACTTAAACCTTTTACTGGTCGTTTCCTTGTGGTCTATTTTGATGATATACTAATCTATAGCAATACCAAAGAGGAACACATCTTCCATCTCCAACAAGTTATGAGAGTTCTTCGCCAAGAGAAACTTTAAGTAAATTTGAAGAAGTGCTCCTTCACGAGTCCAAGCATCATGGTTTTGGGCTTTGTTATCTCTTTCAAGGGTGTAGCGGCTGATCCAAACAAAGTCAAAGCTATTATAGAGTGGCCGATTCCTACCAACATGCAAGAAGTTCGTAGTTTTCATAGATTGGCAACATTCTATAGGCGCTTTATTTGAAATTTCAGCACAATAATGGCACAAATTTTTAATTGCATGAAGAAGGGAGAGTTTATTTGGATCAGGGCAGCAACTAAAGCATTCGAAGAGAAAGAAAAAAATGACTGAAGCTCCTGTAAGCCTTCCGGACTTCTCTGAGGTGTTTAAAGTGACTTGTGACGCCTCAAATGTGGGAATTGGGGTTATACTCAATCAAGAAGGCCATCCAACTGCTTATTTTAGTGAGAAACTTGATGCAGCACAACAAAAAGTATTCTACTTATGACAAGGAATTTTGTGCTATGATTCAAGCACTCCATTACTGACGTTACCATCTCATATCCAAGGAGTTTGTATTGTATTCTAACCATGAAGCTCTTAAGTACATCAACTCCCAAAAGAAGTTGAATCAAGTGGGTCTGCTTGCAAGAATACACATTCGTCATCAAACATAAAGCTGGGACAGAAAATAAGACAGCTGATGCACTCAGTCGCGTGATGCTAACTCTCAACTCTATGTCCATCCAAGTTATGGGCTTTGATTCGCTCAAGAAAGACTACTCGTCTTGCAAAGATCTCAGCATAATCTACACCGATTTAGTGGCTGGACAGCATGCTGTATATCCAGAATTCTTTTTACATGATGGGTATCTTTTTAAGGGAACTTGTCTTTGTTTACCTAGCACATCTCTACGAGAAGAGGTGATTCGAGAATTGCATTCTGGAGGAGCAGCAGGTCATTTTGGCAGAGACAAGACAAATGCAATGGTTGAAGACCATTATTATTGGCCAAGTCTTATGCGGGATGTTGCTAAAGTTGTTTCTCGATGTCGTACCTGTCAACTTTCTAAAGGATGAAAGAAAAATACTGGTTTATACACTCCATTACCAGTACCACATGAGCCATGACAAGACCTAAGCATGGACTTCATCCTAGGGCTGCCACAAACCCTTAGGGGATATGATTCCATTTTTGTGGTGGTGGACCGCTACTCAAAAATGGCTCACTTTATCCCTTCGTTCAAAGACTTCCGATGCTGTCCATATTGTTAAAATATTCTTCAAAGAAGTTGTCCGACTTCTTGGTTTGCCAAAAATAATTGTCTCAGACCACGATGTGAAGTTTACGAGTTATTTTTGGCATACTTTGTGGAAGATGCTGCATACAAAACTAAGGCTGTGTTTGGAATGATTTCCAAGCTATGATTCTACCCCCACATTCCAATATGATGTTTGGATAGTATTCTTAAATCACATTTCCACAATATTTAGAAAACTCTGCAAAAAACTCTGTGTGAGGCGCAATTTTTAATTTTTTTTTTTCTTCAAATTTGGCCTAACCGGTCGTCCCACCAGTCGTCCAGCGGGTTGACCGGAACAGCGTAAATTTTTTTTTTTTTTTTTTTTTTTTGACATTTGATTTTTTTTTTTTTTTTTTGCAATTGACATATGTTAATTTTTATATATTCGAAATAAATATTTTCCGAATATTTTTTATAAAAAATGTGTTTTAATAGAATTTTGAGTTGTATGTTTGGTTATGAGTTGTAAATTTTTGTATCAAATATCATATGTTATGTCAAAAATTCTCCACTCAATTCAAAACTCTTTCACCAAACAAATTTTTCACACTCAAATCATAATTCCAAAACTCACAAACTCAAAATATAACTCCTCTCAAATCATAGTTAGAAAGCTCTACCAACTGCAACCTAAAATTTTCTTCTTCTTTCCATTCCCAAACTGATGGTCAAACTGAGGTTGTTAATCAAAATTTAGGTGACCTTCGTTGCCTTGTAGGCGATCATGTTGGTAGTTGAGATCAAAGTCTTTCTATGGCTGAATTCTCATATAACAGTTCAGTTAATCAGACCACTAGTCGCGGCCCCTTTCAGACTGTGACAAGTTTACTTCCTTGTAAACCAATTGATTTGGCTCCTTTACCCGTTGAGGCACGTCCTAGTGTTGAAGCAGATGCTTTTGCTAAGCATATTTATGCGATACATGATGAGGAAAGATTGTACTCAACTATGAGTTATAAAACACATGTTGATTTGAGAAGAAAGTTTGCAAAATTTGAAGAAGGGGACATGATTATTGTCCGCATCAAATCTGAGCGATATCCTAAGGGTGCATACAAGAAATTCCATTCAAGAAGTTTTAGTCCATATAAAGTTTTCAAGAAAATTAGTTCTAATGCCAACGTACTTGATTTGCTGAACAATGTAGGCATAAGTAATGTCTTTAACATTGAGGATATTACATTATACTGAGGTCATGATGATGATGATCCTAATGATGGTATTGCTACTCGACTTCCACTAGCCCTACGTTTGAAGGAAGACATTGAAGATTTTATTGATCGTCAACTTGTTTTCACTAAAGGTGGTGGCTATCAAAAGTACCTCATCAAATGGAAAGGGAGTCCACTGTCAGATTGTACATGAATCAATGATGAGGAGTTCCAGCACCTAGACCATGACTTGTATGAACGATTCCATGCTTTTAACTCACTAGGGTCGAGTTTTTTTCAGGCAGGGAGAGATGATGGAGGCAAGTGGCAGCAGCCTCTTAAGGTGTACAAGAGACGAGGAAGAGATGCCTCTAAGGCTCAAGCTTTGATTTGGCATGCATTGGATGATAAGCAACTCATTTGGGAACGTGGATAGTTATGTTTTGCGCTTATGAGTCATGTTCTAGTGTTGTTGATAATATTATGTTCTATTTCAAAAAAAATAAAATAAAATAAAATAAAATAATAGAGATATTTTGGGTAGGAATAAACTAGCAGACAGAGGACGAGATCACTCCAAAGCGATACTGAAGTGAAAATGTAGCAGTGGAATGGGTTCAGGTCCGATGGGTGGCCAAGGTAATTTTCCTGCCTGTCGGGGAAACGAAATTACTAGGTACTTAACCTAACTTTGATACCATGTTATAATACTTAAGAGAGAAAGAAATTTGTCTTATATTGAATGTTATAACAGTATATACAAGACTCCGTTATATAGGAAGAGAGAAACCTAAGTATGGCAATCCCAAGTATGGCAATGAATATAATATGACATATATGATAAACAGAATATATAGCTATTATATTTAACTGTTATAATATTTAAGAGAGAAACAAATTTGTATTCTATTGAATGTTATAACATGTATACAAAACTCCTTTATATAGGAAGGGAGAAATCCAAGTATGGTAATCCTAACTATGACAATGAATATAATATGATATGTATAATAAACAGAATATATAGTTACTATATTTAACACCCCCCAAATTCAAGTAAGGATACCAACTTAAGTTTGGAGAGAGAAATTAAAATATGAAATAAAATTAAAAAAAATAAAAATAAAAGACAAATAGATTGCAAAGTCCGAACGGTAGCGCAAGGGCGCTTGAGATAGATTAGAGACCGAAGCTAATACCAGGAAACAGTTTATGGTCGTGTCGGACCGTTGTAAGAACTGGCTGAAACTAATACCGGGATAGTTTAAGGTCATGCCAGACCATTGTAGGAACTGGCCGTCAATGTTGGGATAGTTTAAGGGTCATGCAGGACCATTGTAGGAACTGACCGGAATCAATGCCGGGACAATTTAAGAGATCATGCCAGACCGTTGTAGGAGAACTGGATGTTGAACTAGCAAACGTGGCACACCATAACTTATGACGTGGTGTTGAACGATGATGGCAACAGATGACATTGTGGGCAAGAGAGGGCGGCTTGGGTGATGCGCCAAGGGGCGACTTGGGTGGTGCGCCAGTGACGACGGTTTGGGTGGTTCGCATGATATATCACCATGCTCACCATGATATAGGTATACCCCCCTCAAACTCAAATAGGTTTGAAGATAGAAACTTATTTAAGGTTGAAGTGAAGGGAAAAACAAAATGGAGCAAAAGCGCGCGCGCAAAAAAAAATTATAGAGATATTTGGGGTAGAAATAAACCAACAGATAGAGGAAGAAATAACCACGAACCCTCCATCAAGGGAAGCAATTAAAGTTCTATAAGAGGGTTCTGGAAGCAGTCTTGACCTTATTTATCAGCACATCTTTCAGCAAGCCATATGAGAAGTTACCTTTGAAAAAATCATACTGCAGATTACTGAGATAATTTTTCGAGGGAAAAAGAATTGTCACGGTAGACTCATAACCTTCATTATCAAGTTTCAAGCAGAAACACTCCATATGCAATCATTTGGAAAGAAAGGCTTCATAGTCTACTGGTATGCTCACCATCGTCGTAAATAAAAATATTAGCTAGGCAATGAAGAAGTCAAATATGGGCAATGCAACATACAAATTGGCATATCCAAAAATAAAACACCAGGTAATCCTAGAAATATAGTGGACAGTAGATTCTTGCAGGTGTATAGGAATACATCATTTTAACAAACCATGATTTTATTAAATTATTTTTGGCATGTCTAAGGCTGCATAGGATTAGCATCTTCAAACAACTTATGGAGGACCTTATCTCAATAGAAATGTATCTACAGCAACATAAATTATACATGAAAAAATGCATTTGAGAGAGAGAGAGAGAGTACGTGTAAATTGCAACAAAAATTTCTGGCACCATCCCAACCAATGACCCCAGCAAGTAAGGCCAATACTTGACATTTGTTGCTACAGCACAGTAATTGTATATTATGTATGGGAATGGAGAAATCCTGATTAACGCGACATCCCGACACTGACTAAACCAATTTCCTTGACCAGCTAATCTTATAATGGAAGCTTTTTTCGGATATTTTTCTAACCAACCCTGCATATGAATCAAAAAAACCATTTACTTTTAAATAAACACCCGGGGCTCTGGCTGGCGGGGGGGGGGGGGGGAGGGTGTGGAGAATAGGAAGAAAAATATTAAGAAACACAAGGTACGCACATGAATTTTATTATAGAAGAGTGAACCAATGAAATATGGAAGAGATATGCCGATAGTCACCCCACCAATGATTAGTAGAAATCCAAACCCATAACCAAATGTCATACCAATCACCCACATGGAGGGTGTAGATGGAAGCAGTAAAGTAGGGAAAAGTGCCACAGAAGCAAAGAGTAAAACTGCTAGCACTGGTGTGCGGAATGTTTGTCTCTCCCAGTTAATTAAAGGGATAATTTCCTGTAAAAGAACAAGTCATTAGTTGTGGCCGAAAGAGAGAAAAAAAGAGCATGCAATTCTAGCTCAGAAATACGAAACCATTTTTTAGGTTTCTATTGACAATTTATTGGCAGAAACATCAAGAAGCACCTCAAATGAGGGAAAATGTATTAGAGCCAGTAATGAAGGACGGAATCCATATCAATTGCCATTATCCTGATATAACATATAGCTAGTAATTCTAGTAATTCTTAATAGTAATGTTCTTACATATTTATATTTCCAATTTCAAGTTTAATAGCATAAGGCACATATAGTCCCATATAGGGGTCCATATTCAAAAAATTAAACCAAGAATCTCCTCCAAAAAAAAGTAAAACTCCTATATTTCATTGTGATACTGCATTTGCATTGAACCACTAGCAAAGGCAGTGTTCCATAGACTAGAACATACTACTACCATTCATTGTAATCCCAACAACATACCACTCAATTCACTAAGCAACACAAGTAGTGCCAAAATTCTGAAAATAGTATACAACCAACCAAGCTTTTAGGGACAAAAACACATATAAGGCTATCTTCAGCCCTTACTCAAAATTTTACTCAAATTAGAATAAAAGCTTCATTTAATTTGAACCACTCCAATGGATAAACTTAAATTAACATACAAATTTTAGTAAAAGCTTCACTAATGATACAGTGGTAAATTTGAGCACCACAAAATAGCCATGAAAATTTTGAGTAAACATTTGAGTCTCCCCTGATTTGGGTAAAAAATTGAATAAATTCAATTTAGTGTAAGTTTGGGTCAAGGGAGACGAGGGTTTTTGAGTTTTTTTTAACCCAAATTTAAATCTGACATAGGTTTAAATCAAGGATTAGAGATGCCCTAAAACTCAATCCTACATCAAAAATTTGTAGAATTTTTTTATACATTGGCAGTACACTAACATGACACCACTCCTTTCCAAAAGCCCTAACAAAAACCATATTGACATTGTTGGAGATGAGAACATTGAATCCATAACCTCATGCATGATCTCAAATATATTATGAGCTACAACACCACTATTACATTAAAAATATAGAAATTTTGTAGCTTGATTGAAAGAATGAATAGAATACCTTATCCATTAAAAAGGGGCCAACCCAGATGAGAAAAACAGCGGCCAAAACCCCAACGAAGATCAACACAACTACCATCTTCGCCCACCACCAAAAGCACCACCATCTGCCAATGAATCTGGGAGATGGTGGTGGATGTTGTTGGGTTCCACCACCATCGAAGCCATCCAAGACGCAATCATCGGAATCCTTGAGTTTGACATAATCGCCATGGTCGCCTAAAGCCCTAAGCTTCAACTCCGGCACCACACAATCGACCTCGTCGTCGTTCACATGATAAGTCATCTCCACCGCCGAACCGAAAAGAACCCTAGAATCGATCGACGATGGAAACCCTAGAGATTCCAAGGAAGAAATTTTAAATCAATGTGGGATGATTATTGTTGTGACAGAGAAATTTGGGATGGATTGTGGATCAAAAGGCACGTAACATGTTTGTGTGAAAGTTTGCGTATGTATTATTGTGCGCAAAAGCAAAATCGATGATGGGGAGAGAGAGAGAGAGAGAGAGATGTGTATCAGTGAAATATCAATTCAACAGACTTTATTTTTAAGGGAAATATGATAGGGAGCGTTTGGTTTAAGGGAAAGTTACGTTTGCATTTATTTATTTAATTTATTTATTTATTTATATTTTTTTGAGTGTACGCGCTTACTAGAATTGCGTAGAGTGGAGTGATGCCGTTACTTGGGGCCCACTCAGAATTACAGTAGACTTTTTTTTTTTATTTTTTTTTTATTTTTTATTTTTATTTTTTTTTAGTTCAACATCCATAATAAACTAGGGAGCAACTCAGGCTTATTTTGGGAAGATGGTAAAAAGTAATTTTTTGACTTTTTTAAGTTTTTGAATTTTTTAGACAAATGATTTGGGAAGTTGGTAAAAAGTAACTTTTGACTTTTTTTATTAATGTTTGTTTATAATGTCAAATCATAATAAAATGACCAAACTACCCCCATTTATTTAAAATATTTACGACTTCACCTATGTAACACATTTTCACCCATGAGGGTAAAATTGTAATTTCACCGTTGGCTAAAAACCAACTTCCCAAATGAAAAAAAAGACAAAAAAGCCAACTTTTGGCTTTTGCTACAAACAAAAAAAAATGGCTTTTAGCCAACTTCCCAAAATAGCCCTCAGGCGGATTCGGTTGGGTTGGGAATTTGCCCAAGCTCAGTTCGAATTGTATTTGGCAATGTCCAAGCCCACCCAAGCCCGACCATGAAGCCAAGCATTGCTGTCCAAGCCAGGACCAAGCTTTGTATTTTGAACTCGTGTTAGTCCGAATTACTCGAATTGTCCGAAATTCACAAGTTCAGAAACCTATAGGTAGACCAAATGAAACTCTCTGCTTGTGTCCACCAGACAATTGAGTCCCATGCTCACCTACCATGGTGTCCAGTCCCTAAATTCAATATTTAAAATACAAAGGTAAAATAAAGAATTAACAAGCTTATGAAAGTGAATAGATAGAATACATAAGAAAGAATATAACCAAAAGGGCAAAAAAACTTCAAATCTGAGGCAGTTATATATTATAAGATATAGTTGGGTTAATTTAATTTAATTTAATTTATTAAACCTCTTTTATTTAATTTATATATATTATATAATTTAGATAATATATTAAATTCAATTCGGGTTCGGGTTGCTCAGGTTGGCCATTGTTTCTGCCAAAGCTCGACCTGAATTACAATTCGGGCATCAAAAATCTGCCCAGGCTCGTCCAGATTACAAGATATAGTTGCCCAAGCCCTAAAAAAACTCAAGCTGGGCTCGGGTTGCTCGGGTTGAGCCCGCCCGAGTTGCACCCCTATAATAAACCTTCGTTCAGCATGTCGGACTTTTTGGTCATGTTTGGTGTAACTGTTAAAATAGATTATACATTGGCCCCGTTTGGTAGAGCTGTTAGAAAGTGATTACAGATTATAGCTTAACAGATTATAGCTTATAGCTGTGAGTATAAGTTGGTAACCTGTTTGGTGTAACTGTGGGATTATAGATTTAAGCAGCAGAGTAGTGTTTGGTAAATAAGCTGTAAAATAGCTTTTTGCTGTATAATTGTCCTTTTTGCCCTTATGAACAAAAAAAATTTAATTTTGTCATTTTCTTTTCTTTAAATTGTGAAAAAGTTATTTCATTAATGGAAGTTGATTAATTAGTACCTAATTTTGTACATTTCATGACCTCAAATTTATTTTCTTACTTTATTTTTTTATTTTTTAAATGTTTTTTGTAATAATATTGAGTTGAAAAGGAAACAAAAAAATGTTTATTGCAATAAAAATACAAGAAATTACTATTAAAGCAATAAAATTAAAACTTCATACATATTTAAAGATCTCCTAATTTCGTCGGCAAATTGACATACAAATATTATGTCTCCTCACTTCCATCTCAGTGTCATCACAGTCAACATCATTTCCATGGCTTGCTTGTTGAGATGAAGATCCTTCCTCTTCATTAGGCACATAATCCGCGAATCTATCATAAGAGTCAAATGCAATATCGCGGAACTCACTGCGTCGGATGAAATTATGAATTACCATTGTTGCACAAACAAGTTTGACTTGGGTCACCCAACTGTAGTTTGGTGGGATATTCTTTATCATCGGCCATCTTGCTTTCCAAACTCCAAACGTTCTTTCTATTACACTTCTAAGTGATGAATGTGCTTGGTTGAATTTTTCTTCTGCTTTTTGAGGGGGTTGACCATGTTCAAATTGAGCTAGATAATATATCTCTCCTTTGTAAGGTGCAAGATATCCTTTCATGTTTGGATACCTAGCATCCACCAAGTAAAACTCATCTATTTTAAAATTGCAAAATGAA